AATTAATTGATTTTTGTAGGATTGGAGTGTCCATTCTCAATTTCGTTAAGTAAGTATTGTCTCTAATAATCTAAATGGATAGTGAGTATTTAGAATTAAGTAGGAGTTGCATTGAATTATGATAAAAGGTACATTTCCTATGTATTTCAAAGGAGCATGGAAATCTATTGGTGTCAAGAACATCTACATCTTGTTAATAAGGAGTCTTATCATTTAGATTTCCCCAGTATGTTTTAAATTATGTAAAGGTTCCAAGAGACTTGACTAAGATTTGGTGTATCATCATTTTGAATCGCACTGACAACTTCAGGATCATCAATTTCTTCTATAATATTTTTATTGGTCTTGGGTTTTTCATATGTGGTTTGAGTGACCATTTTGGGTTTTACTCTATAATGATATTATTAATTAATAATTCTTCTAGATATTCTCTAGGTCCAAATTGGTTTTAATTGTTAAGCAAGCATTCTGTCATTCTTTTTATGATTCCATCATCTCTTTCTTTCTCCGAATTGAATTTGGATTTTCCAAGAAAGAGCATGAGTAGAAATCGATTTGAGAGATGGTCCTCATATAGTGAATGCAAAGTGTCCTATTCTCTCTGGGAATATCCTCCACAAGTGATGTGCTAGCTTGTGAGGGTCCCTTTTCGGGTTCTTTGGACTATATCTCCTGGCAATATGATATTTAATTTTTTAAATTAATTTATTGTAAAATTTAGAGTAAAAAATTAATGCGGATTTCATATAAATTGGATGCGTCAAATAGTAAAGACAGATAAGATATTAATGATGAATGTATTAATAAAGTACTTATACAAATGGATTTATATTAAGCCAAATATATGATTTATGAAAATAAAAATCAAAACTAGAAAGAGTTGTTAAGGTAATAAATTTTTTAATGATAATAAAAATATAATTAGAGTTTGATGACAGAATAGATATTAATATATTTGGATTATCTAATAATGTATAAGAGGGTACTGATGAGTCAAATTCATTCTTTATATATCTGGAATACGGGTATTACTAAGAAAATTTTTTTAATTTTACAAAGAGGGAATGCAAAATAGTAAAGGATGGAAATATTGAGTTAAAAGTTTATAATTAGGTTAAACTTATGTCTGAATAAACTTCATCAGATATTAAATAATAATGCATAACTAAAACCTCAAATATTCTAAAAATTTGATATTCTAAGTTCAATAAAATTGAAGAAACTTATAAGTTAAAAAGAGCCAAATTAATAATTTAGAATTTATTTATATTTGGATCTTTAGTAAAAATATAGAGATTAAAAATTTGAAAATGAAATACAATTTGTCATTAAAAACAAATGGAAATCTTATAAGTTGAATTGATACTTAGTTGATTGAGAAGAGAAGGAAAGTATGTATTCATATTTTATGGTTAAGGAAATGAACTATAGAAATATAAATTAGATTTGGAAGAATAAATCAAAGAATAGCCTAGCAATTGGAAACTAATATTATCAGAATTACCGATAATTTGTATTGATTCTTTACAAGTACCTAACATAGGATGATATTAAATCCTATTGATATACTGATTGTTAATTCTAAATCATATACTCTTAAAAGTTTAATGAACTCTCTTACCTTCAGTCTTTGAAAGAATTCTAACATCAATATCAAAGTAATTTATGAAATTTTTATTCACTTTCATTTAAACAAATGTAGTATAATAACTTGTAATAATTAACCAACTATCAAAGAATTTTAGGAAAGTTGAATTTATCAATATAGTGATGGTAATGGCAACAATGTAGCTTCCTAAATGCAAATTAAGATAATAAAAGTAGTATTGGAATTAGATAAAAAGAAAGAAGGAATGATAAGAGAAAATCTTTTAGGAAGAGAAAAACTCATTAATCTAAGATTATGTTTCATTCTGGAGAAGGATTTGATCCTTAGAAGAGAATTCATTTTTTAAAATACAATCTTTTGGTTTGTCCAGGAAATTTCTATTGTTTATGGATTTTCATAAAGACTTCAATTTAGAATTAGAACTTTAATGGATCAAAAGGTATTTTATGGATTTTCTATCTTGAATTTATACTTGACTTATTATAATATGTGTCTGGTTAACAGATTTGATATACTGTATATCTGTTTCTATAAAGATGGATTGCAGTAGTTATAGTAGTTATGCTGTTTTGTGTTTGCAAAGATGAATATCCATATGTTTTAGATTGATTAAGGATGTGGGGTGACCATTCTCTCTATGTTGATTTTAAACTGAAAATTTTTAATTAATACATTTAGTCTAGAAAAGGTATATCAGCATTATCTAGGATATTATATAATATATTATCTTGAATTTAAATGTATTTTGGTAATTATTGATTTTAAGAGTATCTTTATTGACTAATCCGATTTTAGAAATGAAGAATTGTTAGATTGATTAGACAATAATATAGTTTTTAATATAATAGTGTTACTAATCACTTTTGCATAATAATCAATTCAGGTATGTATTATTAAATAAAAACTTACTTAAAAGATTGATTAAGAAATATAATAATTTCTAATTATGTTAGCATATATAGTGAACAATAAATTATCAATTCTCTTTTCCTAATAGCTATTATATTATTTTATACTTTAATGTGGAGCTAAAATAGTATTTTCGAAAAGTAAGAATTTTAGGAATCTTTTTTCTAATCAAGTCTGTCATCTATATCGTTACTAAAAAATATATATTTATATCAAATTGTAAATTAATTTATTAAAACTTATTTGTTTATATAAGGAGTTTTCATATATAAATGGTAGTAATAAGCAGAAGACGAAATTAAATTGAAAGAAACTCTTATTTTTTAATATTTTGTTTTAAACTGAAGATGAATCACTAAAATATTTATTCTTTTACACTCTTTAAAATCATCCTAATTGTGTTATTTATATGAAATCATAATCTAAGGTTAGATTTAATTTAGGGGATAACTTGGATCTTACAAATTTTGTTTTACATTGATAGGTTTAAAAAATATCATCTTTATAGGCATAAATTCCTAGCTACCACTTGTCAAGTTTAATTTATAACTCATAATCTTTTATGATCAGATGTATCTTCAAAAATGGAAAGTTCCATTTAATCGTCTGGTTTTCTTTTCAACAGATACAACATCCATCTCTATGATTACCTATCCAAAATACCACAAATAAGCAATAAACAGATATCTCACTTTCAAAGACGCTTTTTATTTGTAACTTACTCTTTATTAATTCTTAACAAGATACTCTATAGTTCTAAATTTGCTTCATCAATCTCATACCCACCTAAAAAGATTACATTACTGAATTCTTTTTGCGTCTAAGATTACCTTTCATTTTACCACACTTACTATTTCTTGGGTCTAAAATTGAATGCTAAAGTATTTCAAATTTCCTCCATAAATTTTTCAAGTATAAACATGATTAAGAACAGGATCTGCTACTGTCTTCAATTCAGTATTTCACTTAACCCTAACATATTATCAAATAAAAACAAAAAGTGGGGATTACCAACAGATAGGATGATTCATATTCAAAATAGGATTTGATATAGGGGTTCGAGAGTTATGTAATATGCCAAAAGGAAGCTAGTTACCTAGCAAGGTTAGTAATAGTCTTTTTTTTTGAACCCTTTAAAATGACTACTTCAACCTTTGAAGAATCTAGCTATTTTCAATCTCTCCTTTCCATACGATGATACACTACATCATCAACCAAATTTTTTTTCTAATCAAAAGCTTCCTCAGTTTATTATTGGTTCTTTCTTATTTTCTTATTTTTCCAATCATAAAAAATCTCAATTAAGTTTTAATCTTTTCTAAAAAATGGCAAAAAATAGATAACAAAAAGAAAGATTGCTAACATAAGTCTAGAATGATTTTATCCTATTTAATTCCATCATAAATGTAAATTTAAATATAAATCCATTTTAAGGCATTCAGTTGATTTTCATAGATGATACCCAAAAAAGCCTTTTATTCCTTCTTAAGTTATCAACGATGATAAACTTTTTAACTATATTGTATGCATTAGACTAAATAACTAATCTTATAAGTTCTTTAATCAATCTAATAAGTGGAGTAGCTAAGTTGTGATACAAAACCTTTTAGGGAAGTATTTTTTAACTTATAACAAACTTCCTTCAATCGATTAATATAATTGGTCTCACTCATCTCAAAAAATGGCTGTAGACCATAATAAGTCTAAATTGGTTCCTAAGAGAAATGATTTAAACTTTTTCCTTCCTTAATTCTCCTAGTCATATCACAAGTGATTTTATCATAATTTATATTCCCTTTTTGTACTTCTATTTTGATCTACCCTTCTGCTTTATTAATTTTATTTTACTTNTCATATGGATATACTTTATACTTTAATGTGGAGCTAAAATAGTATTTTCGAAAAGTAAGAATTTTAGGAATCTTTTTTCTAATCAAGTCTGTCATCTATATCGTTACTAAAAAATATATATTTATATCAAATTGTAAATTAATTTATTAAAACTTATTTGTTTATATAAGGAGTTTTCATATATAAATGGTAGTAATAAGCAGAAGACGAAATTAAATTGAAAGAAACTCTTATTTTTTAATATTTTGTTTTAAACTGAAGATGAATCACTAAAATATTTATTCTTTTACACTCTTTAAAATCATCCTAATTGTGTTATTTATATGAAATCATAATCTAAGGTTAGATTTAATTTAGGGGATAACTTGGATCTTACAAATTTTGTTTTACATTGATAGGTTTAAAAAATATCATCTTTATAGGCATAAATTCCTAGCTACCACTTGTCAAGTTTAATTTATAACTCATAATCTTTTATGATCAGATGTATCTTCAAAAATGGAAAGTTCCATTTAATCGTCTGGTTTTCTTTTCAACAGATACAACATCCATCTCTATGATTACCTATCCAAAATACCACAAATAAGCAATAAACAGATATCTCACTTTCAAAGACGCTTTTTATTTGTAACTTACTCTTTATTAATTCTTAACAAGATACTCTATAGTTCTAAATTTGCTTCATCAATCTCATACCCACCTAAAAAGATTACATTACTGAATTCTTTTTGCGTCTAAGATTACCTTTCATTTTACCACACTTACTATTTCTTGGGTCTAAAATTGAATGCTAAAGTATTTCAAATTTCCTCCATAAATTTTTCAAGTATAAACATGATTAAGAACAGGATCTGCTACTGTCTTCAATTCAGTATTTCACTTAACCCTAACATATTATCAAATAAAAACAAAAAGTGGGGATTACCAACAGATAGGATGATTCATATTCAAAATAGGATTTGATATAGGGGTTCGAGAGTTATGTAATATGCCAAAAGGAAGCTAGTTACCTAGCAAGGTTAGTAATAGTCTTTTTTTTTGAACCCTTTAAAATGACTACTTCAACCTTTGAAGAATCTAGCTATTTTCAATCTCTCCTTTCCATACGATGATACACTACATCATCAACCAAATTTTTTTTCTAATCAAAAGCTTCCTCAGTTTATTATTGGTTCTTTCTTATTTTCTTATTTTTCCAATCATAAAAAATCTCAATTAAGTTTTAATCTTTTCTAAAAAATGGCAAAAAATAGATAACAAAAAGAAAGATTGCTAACATAAGTCTAGAATGATTTTATCCTATTTAATTCCATCATAAATGTAAATTTAAATATAAATCCATTTTAAGGCATTCAGTTGATTTTCATAGATGATACCCAAAAAAGCCTTTTATTCCTTCTTAAGTTATCAACGATGATAAACTTTTTAACTATATTGTATGCATTAGACTAAATAACTAATCTTATAAGTTCTTTAATCAATCTAATAAGTGGAGTAGCTAAGTTGTGATACAAAACCTTTTAGGGAAGTATTTTTTAACTTATAACAAACTTCCTTCAATCGATTAATATAATTGGTCTCACTCATCTCAAAAAATGGCTGTAGACCATAATAAGTCTAAATTGGTTCCTAAGAGAAATGATTTAAACTTTTTCCTTCCTTAATTCTCCTAGTCATATCACAAGTGATTTTATCATAATTTATATTCCCTTTTTGTACTTCTATTTTGATCTACCCTTCTGCTTTATTAATTTTATTTTACTTTTAAATTATATCTAAACATGAAATTTTTGAATTTTTGTTTAATCAAATTTTCTCTTAGCTACTTATCTCTTCATATTTTTTACTTAATTATGTGTAAACATATCAAGAATTAAATTATGATAAAACCTAGCATTAAATCTAAGAGCTTTCTTCAATATAAAGTTGTTTACTTATATATAATAGAATTCTAAATTATTTTTAATTTATGACTAAAACCAATTCATATTATTCATTGAAACAAAATAAATTATATTAAATATTCAATTTTTTATGTTTGCACTTGATAAATTTATGACTTGAATTTTTATAACAATCATTATATTTTCTTTTTTTATTGTTATGAAACATTTTCATATTTTTGGTATATAATTTAAACTTACATCATCAATCCATAATCTCTTTTGATATAGTTAAGAGAATTTGAAATAAAAGCATATAAATTTTATATTTGGAGACATATTTGTATTGGTAAATGTTGAGTTAGCTTATAATCTAATTGATTAACAATAATATATAATTCTAAATTTTGTATTATTGAGCTAGATAGAGAGAAAACCTATTTTAATGGATATTATTCAGATGCTTGAATTAACATGATGGCTCATTACAATAAGAATATACAAAATAACAACAATCTTTATTATAGATTATAGAAGAGGAAATAACAATATGTATTTTTATAATTATATTCTTATTATCAAATCTGTTTCAACTCTTGAAGCAAGTGCAAAAGTTATTCTTCAGAAACATTAATATATATTTTGCAATCAAAATATTTTTATCGTCAAAAACTAACTAATGCGAATAAATAATGAAGATTTTATATTTTGAACTATAAGATTATAAAATAATAAAATGGAACTCAATTAAAAAATACCCAATTAATAAACTTCAGAGTATGAATGCAATTTAAAAAGATTATAAGTTAATTAAAAACAACCAAAACATTGTAGAAATTTAACATATTTTATCAGCTCTAATTTTTTTAACTTCTTTTTACAAAGTGGAATTTCATAATTATGTGCATATTTTCCTTTAAATTTATTTGTTTGAAACGATTATTTGAGAATATAAATCTATAATGTTAAAATGTAAATGGAAGATGATTTCAATTAATAGAATATCAGCTTCTCTATTAAATTCATGATGGAAAAGAAGATGGCAAATCAAAGAGATATTAATTGTGAAAATTATAGGTAAGTATACTTAGATTTTGAAAACATATGTTATTGATATATTCATAAATTTACTGTGAAAAAATGACATTAAAAGGAAATGATTCATAATAATTACAAAATGCATATTTAAAAATTTAAAAGATAACTGATTATGTAAGAATATCAAAGGATTTTTTATGTGAATTAAATATTGTAATTAAGAATATATTTTGATTGATAAATATTTAAGAAAGAAATGATTTAATCATAAATTTATTATTATGTAAAATTCGATTATAAAATCATACATTTGATATCATTTGAAATTTGAAAACTTATAATTTCTAAACAAAAAAACCTCAAATTAAATCACCCCAATATTGTTAAATTTAAAATCAAAAAAAAA